ACCCGAACAGTTGGAGTATGGTAAGGCCACATAGCAACATGAATACGTTCAAATACAGAAGAAGTGAGTGTTGTAATTTTATGAAACGGTAACCTATGTTGCTTTGCCATGGGACAAATTTCACATACAAAAGAATTCTTAGGAATAGAAATATCAGGAACAAGATGCATAGACTGTATTTTAAGAAGGGGGATATGACCCAATCTTTGATGCCACAGTATGCTAATATTTGTAGGAGAAGTCATGAAAGCAATCCTATTAATGTTAACAGAGTTTTCATGTACACCAGTACTCCCAAGTGAATTGACAAAATTAAAGGGAATAGAATTAACAGTTCTCTTGACTGTATGAATGTGGGAAGAAAAGTTGAGCTGTAGAATACATAATCCATCTACAACTCTACCAAATACTGATGAGTTTTTCGTTGAATGGCCTTGCAATATACAACATGAATTTGAGAAGGATAATACGCAATGCAGTTCAAAACAAAGTTTGTGAACAGATAATAGATTGAATTTGAAACTCGGGACAGAGAGCACATTGTACAGAACAACATCAGAAAGAATTTGAATACTGCCCGCGGAATCAATTATTACTTTATAGTTATTTGGCAGCGTAACTATCTAAATGCTTCAAGTTGAACAAGGCAGATTTATCAGAGGTCATATGGTGAGAAGCCCCTCAACCTGCTATCCACCTAACAGAGCCTAATTGACATGGGTTACACAAACATTTACCCACAGTACGAGAAGAGTTTAAAGCTATGATACCTGTGAAATTAGCGGAGCACTCAAGAAGTTCCTCATACTGACTAACTGGCTGGGACTTAGACAACATGGCCACGGAGACATTTGCTTGAAGTGTCGGCATAAAATCCGAAGAATAAGAGACAGAAAAACTCGCCGTAAAAAAGCGAAGAATCACGGAGAGATGAAAATAAATCGCCAGAAAATAAATCGTCAACGGCAAATTTCACCATAGTAACCACCAACCCAGTCAACCAGAAACTCTGATCCATGAAGAAATCACGGATAAAAACTCAAAATATACGAAGAATCCTAATCACCGATTGAAGTGAATGCGAAAATCCTCCTCAAAGCACCAAAATTAGACAAGCCCAGACGGAAACTCCGATAACTGAAAATTAGAGGCTGAGGGTAACAACGGACGAAATGGGATAGCTCGACCTATAATTATTCATACAACTAGCTATACACAATGAGCCCGTTTGGCTTAGCTGATTTAGAGTAGCTGATAAGTATTAGGTGCTAAAAAGCACTTTTAAGTGCTGAAACCGATTTAAAAAATAAACAGTTACGTGTTTGGATAAAAGTGCTGAAATTAATAATAAGCAGCTGAAGAACTGGGTATACGAAGAGTTTTATTCTAAAAAAAAGTATTTTAGGGATAGAATAGTAAATATTTTGGTCAAACCTAAAGTGCTTATAAGCTGAAATTTGATAAGTTGGGGGAGACCAACTTATGGCTTTTGGCTTATTTTTGGCTTATAAGCACTTAACTTATAAGCACTTTTAATTTTACCAAACGCGTAAATAAGCCAAAAAATACTTATTATAAGCTTAGCCAAACACCCTCAATGGCTAACTATGTAAAATATCAGCTACACACTAAATTAAGTACATCAGCATAAAACATGAACTGAAATGAATTTCCAACAGATGAAACTTACCTTAACAATGCGGCCAATGGCGTTTCTGAACGCCGGAGTTCCGGCAATAACATACTTAATTGGTGATACGAATAGCTTCGCTGAATTCTTCAGCAATACAGAAGCAATATGTGAAAGAAGGGGCATTTTTGGATTTTTGGGTAAGAAGGGAAATTTTTGGGTAAATTTCAGATTTCAAAATTTGAGCTATTTTATGCAGAATCCTGATCACGCTGCATGCGTTTCCCTCCCCTAACCCCCCTCCCACCCCTCTCTTATGCATTCAAAATATTGCGGGTAATGAGTATTGATTTCCGATTATTTTACGGTAAAGTAACTAAATTTCACACTCATGGTCACTAAGTTTATTTGTAACATTAAAGTGAAATAATCACTTTTAGGGTGAAAATTATTTATATCCCCTAAGTTTGTTTAAAAATCAAACTCATCCTCCAACTTTGAACAATTGTTATTCTCCTTCTTCCATCCTTGCTATGTCTATTTTATCCTAGATATTTTTAATTCCCCATATATGTAGTACCCTTGATATTATATCTTATTATATAATTTTATTTAAGTTTATTAATCATATAAATATAGAATAAGCACATTATGAATTATTACAAATCTACAACTACTTTTATGATTATTATTTTAATATTACGTGTATTAAATATGCATATAACATGTGTCTATGTATGTGTGTGAGAACCGGGGAATCTATTGGTCGAATAACAATATTTTTACAAGCTCACTATTTCTCTTAATCTCCATTGTGTGTGTCTATATATATATATATATATATATATATATATATGGGCTGAGCATATATCGGGTAAAACCGATACCCCGAACCGTTAATTGTTTATTGGGTTATCGGTATCGGGTTATTGGGGGGTTAACGGTTCGATAACGGTTTAGAATTGTTTTACTATTGGGTTATCGGTTCGGGCCTCGGTTTGCCAATTTTGTTAATGTGTTAACCGATAACCCAATAAGAATTAATAAAATTACGACTTTACCCTTAAGTATGTACAAATGTTAGGGCTTCAGTTCATTCTCTCCTACTCTTTCTCAACCGCACTCTTCAGTTGCTTCATCTTCATTCTTCATAGACCTTACTAGTTACTCCTAGCGTAAGTCTTTAGTATACTATATGTGAATTCTTCTCTTTTTTACTTAACTCAAGTGAATTGTCTTCTCTTTTTTGCTTAACTCTAAATTGAGTTATCTTATCGGGTAAACCGATAATGATCGATAACCGATACCCGATGACCGATATCTTATCGGTTCGGTTATCGGTTTATCAAATTTGTAAACCGATAACTGATATGCTAAACCGATAATATTCATAACCGAACCGAACCGATAACTGATATGCTAAACTTATTCTCCTCAGAAGTACGTGATTTCTCCTTTCCAACCAATTGATGTAGGAAGAAACCTTTTGTAACAGTAAAGTCATTATACTATGTGTTAGTTGCCCATATAATACAA